TATGCTGCCTCTAGGCAAAGTACCATCCCACATGAACAAAAGAACGAAACTAAGATCACATCCATTTCATCTTGCTGCTGCTACTCCTGCACAGAAGCTCTCCGCAGATGCCTAAGTCCCTGATACTGTATCTTCAGTGCTCGTATGTCACAGTAAATGATTCATTAAAAATGCATAGACAGATTGATCTTAGAAGAGGGGAAAAAAAAAAAGAGATCTGGAGTTTAAGGCGAAAGAGAAATAGCAATCAAAACCCAGAGGTAGAAAAGGGAAACACCTCCCAAATTCACATGAGAAAGGCACGCAAGAAGGCATTTAAAAATAAAGAGGAGACAGCAACTGTGTTGACATTTAATATGTCTACTTGGGATAAAACTCATCCTTTTACAAGCAATGAAAGCAACAGCCTAGAGAAAGCCCAAAGCCCTTAAAACATTTTGCATCAAGTACCTCACAAAAGTGATAGGCAATTTCTGCTGAGGTCTGTACATTAGTTGCACCAAACTATCTAATTTAGTTTTTCAAAAATATAATTAAATGGGAGCAAATCCCTAATGCAGCTACAGCTGTATTGATATTGTGCTTATAATGACATAACCAATATTAAGGTGCTGCATCCATGCAACAAAACTGGTTTTTATTTTTTGCATACCAAAAATGAGCATATTTGCACCTCTCCTTATTAGTTTCTTTTCAAAACCAACATTTGGCAGGTCTGCAAAGGATGCAAGGGTCACACGCAGCACACACACACAGCCAAAAATGAGCATATTTGCACCTCTCCTTATTAGTTTCTTTTCAAAACCAACATTTGGCAGGTCTGCAAAGGATGCAAGGGTCACACGCAGCACCAGTGGGGTTGAAAACAGGTGCCTACAATAATGCTGATACTTCAGGAATGGTAAGAAATTCCCAATCCCAGTCATCAATAGTCATCCTAATTTATATACCATTTGCCCTGGTCCCATTAGGCCCCGAAACTGGGAAGGAAAAAAGAGAAAGATATGCTTCATTTTTGATTCCTTTGGTCCTGATAAACCCACGATTGCCAAGACTAACCCTATACTGTTACTGGTTTTGAAATATTTCCTGGATGGCCACAAGGCTTTACCCTGCTCAAGGGATCCCACAAGCAAAAAAGCACCCATGCTTAAGAATAATAACCTACTTGAGTCAGAGACTCCTCCTTACGATGACATCCATGAAAATAGTGGTGTATAGATAACATATTTATTGTATTTTACTGATTATTTTCAATAAAAGTAGAAATGTGGACCATAATTTACATTTTGTAAGTTAAAAAAAAGGCAAGTACCTACAATGGGAAGTGTACATATATATATATTCACACACACACGTACAATAGCAATATTTTTAGCTATAATTTCCTACTCATGTGGCAACATGATGAGCATTTTGAAGAAGCTGAGCCAAGTGAAAATACAACCTGCAGAACAGGTCATGTTTAAATATTCTGCTATTGAAGAATATTAAAAACTACAGATTAAGTAGGAGTGTTGTAATACTTACATTAATTAATGCTTGTAAATCATTCTGAAATACTTGGATAAAAGATGGCATAAAAAGTGTTGCCACATGTCTTGATACTTCTAGATGTGCACAATCCCATACATCTCATTCTGCTTTTTGGATGTTTCAAACCATCAAAAATACCGTCAGCAAATGAGTTTTGTGTTGGTAAGTGTTTGAACACGGCAGAGAAACACCACGAACACCCAAATCCTTATTAAGAACTCTAGCAGACACCTCAATATAAATAGACTGAAATATCTACATTTCTTCACGTCTGAATCTAAGTGCTAGTGGTGCCTCACCAGGTCTAGTAACTGAACACCTCTGTTGATCAGTGAATTAGCACAGCTCAGAGAGCTTGGCAATGTCACTCAGCCTGGACTTGGCTGTCTTTTCATGTATGTGAAATATCATATACATAATACTCCTTCCAATCTAGTGCCACCTGGTATTCACACCACCAGAAAACTGAGCCCACGCCATCAGGCAGTCTGAAAAGGAAGGTATGTGGAATCACTCAATACACATCCATGGTTAGTGAACAACATAACTAGTTTTCAGAGACCTTGGTACTTCTTGCCTATGCAAACACAGCCCTTTATAAAAATGCAGAAATTAAAGGCCAGCATTAAGGCCCTTTTGCTTTCCCACATTGATCTCCAGACCTGAGACATGTCTGTCTTTTCATTCAGAGACAGGTAACCTTATTTTATAGCATCCATTTAAAAATAAAGAAAAAAAAAGGCACCGAAGGAGTCTCACCAAACAGGAGGGAGCAGAATTGCTGTCCTTAAGGGTGATAACACAGTGTAAAAGTGTTCTATCTAGAAGAACACAAAGTATCACCAATATACACATCTTCCCCAACAGGTGAGAACACTAGAAGCCATTCATCCTTCCTCCTCTGTTCCAAACCAAGCACATGCCCTGCTTTATACCCGCATTCTGGAGCACAGACGGTTTGTTCTGCTCTCGCACAGCACATATAACAATACAGTGTTGTCCTCATCTCAGGAACTTCTAAAGGCTATCTCACTACAAATAAATACTGCAAGCCGCTGGCCTGCAGCAGCCAAAGGACAAACAATGATAGGAAACAGAAGTTTGTTGTGATTCGGAGAGAGGCTAAACGAGCTGCTAGGGGCAGGAAGCAGAGCCACCATGCGAGCAGAGCACCCTGTTCTTCAGGGCGACCGGCACAAACCTAATTAACTGCACGTGATATGCCGTGTAGGTACAACCGCCTATTAACCTAGAACCTTGGCGTGGCAGCACTTGAAAGTAAAGGCTATAAAACACCTTCTGGATGTTGTGGCAGCAGCAGCCCTTACCCTGAGGAGCATACTCACCATAGGGACCACCACAGGCCCCATCTCCCACCAGGGAGAGCTTCCAACTCTGCTGAACCCCATCAGGGAGCAGCAGCACCCCCATTGTAGGCCGGGGGGAGAAGGCCTTACCGCGCTTTTTAGGGCGGTTATTCTTCCTCTCACAACCCTTTAGCACCTCAGAAGAGCCACCATCCGGCTCCCCAACACCAAGCACCAGCCCCGCGTAGGGGAATTAACAACACCGTGAAGGGGAAGAGGGGGGGGATAAGCGGGGCCGGGCGGCGCCAGCTCTCCTCCCCCGGCGCCGGCAAGGCCGGGCACAGCCAGCAGGTGCCGGCGGGCGGCACGGCCGAGGCGAGGCCCGTCCCTCACACCTGCCTGCCGGTACCCCCTCTACTCTCTCCCTCCCCGCCGCCGCCCTTAACGAGGCGAGCAGGCGACAGAACCCGGCCCCTACCGACCTTCGCCCGGTGAGGGCGGAGCGGGGCTCGGTTGAGGAAAAAGCTTGGGGGAGGAAAAGCCGCGGAGACGCGCCTGTGCGCGGCCCCCGCTCTGAGGCGGCGCGCGCGGGCAGGTAGGGGCGGAGCCTCCTGCGGGAGGGTGGGGAGGGGCGGGGCCGAAGGGAGAGAAGGGCGGGGCTTAGAGGCGCGGCGCCGGGCCGTGAGTGGGCAGGGCGGCTGTCAAT